AAAAAAAAAAAAAAAAAAGAAAGAGTGAGATAACTAAAGTAACTATAAAACTGGAAAAAAAAATAATGAAAACCCAAAATTGCAGGTATGTCGCGCCGGAATACGCGATGACGGGGCATTTGCTTGTGAAGAGCGACGTTTATAGCTACGGGGTCGTCCTGCTGGAGCTGCTCTCTGGTCGGAAGCCAGTTGACATGTCCCAGCCCCCGGGCCAGGAGAACCTCGTCACGTGGGCCCGGCCCCTCCTCGCCAACCGAGAGGGCCTCGAGCAGCTGGCGGACCCCACTCTCTCGGGAAGCTACGATTTTGATGACATGGCAAAAGTAGCCGCCATTGCCGCCATGTGTGTCCACCCGGAGGTCACCCACCGCCCTTTCATGGGGGAGGTCGTCCAGGCACTCAAGCTCATTTACAACGACACAGACGAGACTTGTGCTGACGCCTTAAGCCTTAAGGAGGACTCGTCCGCCCGTGGCTCGGATTTCAAGGCCGACTTCACGGCCCACTCGGATGGCAGCTGGTGGAACGAGCGGTGTGGGACCCCCCCACGCATGACACGCGGGCGGGCCTCGTCTTTTGTGACGATGGATTACAGCTCTGGCCCACTAGGGGAGGTGGACAACAGGTCAGGCCCATTAAGGACTGTAAGGAGTCAACGGACTTTTTATAGGCTGCAAGGGAGCATGAGTGAACATGGGGAGATTTTGGGGAGACGTGCTTGGGATGGTGGTGCTGGGTATGAGGCTTCCTTTTAGGGTATTTGGGATTTGTGTGTGTTCTTTGAACTGTACAGTGGCATGGACTGTTTGTGTTGAGATGGGTGGATTTTTTTTCTGGTGTAGTGTTGGTGTGTTTTTTTGAGGTGTTTTGGTGTGCCGATTTTCCTTGTGCTGAGGGGAAGAGGAGAATGGTGGAGATTGATAAAGATGGCTTCTAATTGTTGTTAATGTTAAGATTCATTTAACATGTAACCAACGAGCCTGGTTAATTTGGAGTGTGACTGCTGTAAATGAACTGGTTTTTAATTTGTGCCGAGTTATAAATTTTGTTTCAACTGCATATTCTATTGAATAACAAGTGGCATGGCCACGGGCTGGATCAGGGCACGACCTGAAACGGGCTCGGATATATCGATGGGTTGGTTAACTGAATGGACGCGAACCGGCGGTTCAATGAACCGTGGGAAAAAACCCGGAACCGGCTCGGAACTGCCGGTTTTGGGTTAAAATAAATTGACCTGGAACCAAACCGTGTGAACCACGGTTCCGGTTCATAACCCTATCGGGTTGGGTCTGGTTCGATTCAACGAGTTCGAGTCAAAATGGCCATTTCTAACAAGTGCAGCATAAAAATCAAGCATTTACTAATTATTGCAAGCGACTCTCTCTCTCCCGTTTTCCCCAATTTGTCAAAGAAATACCATAGCCTTTGATTTCGTTGGCAGCCTCCTTCCAACGGGAGCTCCGCTACGTCGCAGTGCTGGTGGTCCTTCAATCATACTTTTGGTCCTCGTCATGTCGCGAATTTTTGAGCCGAGCAAGGGTCTTGCTCAATCGTAGGTTGCCTTGTAGGTCTGAGGTTGTTACCGTGTATATTTATGTAGCATATCTTGTGTATTATTTGAGGAGATATTTTAGGGATAATTAGTATCTTGTGATTAGTTTGTTTCCTTATTTAGTTAGGATGTAATCTTGGTTATATATTTTGGCTAATCAGAATTCTCTGATCATCACGTTTGGATGAATCAGTTCCCCAGTATTTTCTTTTGACAGAGGTGGTCCTGATGTCCAACGGTGTGGCTGGCGACAAGCTCTGGTTGCTGCCTTGTGGTGGTCGGAGCCGAGGTTAGCCTCTCCCCTCTCACCTTGCTTTTCTGTCTTGTCTGGTGTGGGGCGGAAGGTGCTGGTGGGTTGGGGACGGGGCGATGGCTCTGTTGATCTAGGCTGCCGGTCGGTGAAGGGGTTAAAGATTTGGGATTTCTGGTTCTCATTTTCTCCTTGTTTTCCGGTCGTCATGGGGCTAGGCGATGGGGCTAGCTGGGGTGTAGTTGGGTAGTTCTAGTGGCCCTTCGGCCTTGTTTGCTGGTTGGGGTTGGTGTTTCTTGCCAATCTCTGCCTCTAGTTCAAGAGTCATCTGGCTTCGAGAGGGATTTGGTCTGGGGGCTCGGCTCTAGATAGGCGTAGTGATACTGCAGTTTCTAATTAGGTGCCTTGGATCGGGTCTCTGCTTGGTTTGGGTGGTTGCTCTCGGAGTCAGAGTGTTTTGCCAGTCGTAGAAGAGGGTTTTAGTTTTCTTTAGTAGATGTTGTCTTGTCTTGTGGTATAAGTG